AGTACTTACGAAATCGTGATACYACTAACATTAAGGAGAATAAACAATTATAACACACTTTATAACTTCATTAAAAAATGTTTTAATTATAATTATCATTTACTAAAATATAACGGGACTAAACCACCTAACTAAACTAATAGTTCGGAGTTCCTATATGCACCAAAAATAATAATTAATTATGATATTACGGAGCTCATTAAATATTACATTTCGTTAATTTTATTTATCTACTCAAATACATATAGTTAAGGTCATTAACTTGTTTTGATTTTTGGCAAACAAGGCTAAATGTGTACAATGTAGAGACTGTATATCTGCAGTATAAACATATATGGTATTGTAATAGTACCTATATGATTTTATAGTTATGGTTTTGCGGAAGCTGGACTCTAGAAATCAACTATTATTGGTTCTAACCTACAATAGCTGTAGACCGATAACCAGTCAGACAACACTAGTCGATTTATAAAGATTTTTTACTTTAAAAACTATGATAATGTATTTTGTAGTATATCCATATAATTTTATTATAAATATATAAGAACAAATGTACAATACTTAAATTAAAATATTATAGTACACTTTATCACTACAGTATAATTATAATAAATATAAACAATTTAATTTAAAAAAATATTTTTTTACATACAATATAATTACTTGGGTACATCAGAGCAGCAGCATCACATCATTACCTATTGATAAATTATTGTTCTTTGAATTTTTGGATCACTAATCTCAATGCATTGAAACACCTRGWTACGAAAATATTATACGGTTGACTGAGTACAGAGTACCTACCTAAACTAACTAGGTCTTCACAAAAGATAACCTAAGTAGRTACAAAATTCTTTAAAAACAAATTGGCTAGAGCATAATCTAACATCGACATCGATGGTGTGTCAAAAGTCAATMGTACATATGTCGTGGACAGTAAAACTATTATATTTTTAAACATTTATCAGAGAATACACAATCTATAAATATTCTTCTTAAAAATTAAAATAATAAATAACAATGAAATAATGAAGGTATGATTTATTCACGAGAATGGCTTGAAAAAAWCGAGTTAGAGAGTAGTAGGTACTATAAGAAAAGGAGATTTAAAAAAAAATTCAAATAATGGTGTCTCTATACATTTGCGTTTAAGTCTCTTAGCATTAGGTTTTTTAGTAGAGGTGTCGGAATTCAGGTGGATAATTAGTTAATTATAGGTATCATGCGAAATACAAATAAAGCCTAAAAGAGGTAGGAGCAACTAAATTATTAAAACTCCAATATTATAATAAGAAGAGCGTGTTCAATAAATTCTAAAAATCGTTCAACGAGATATTTTAAAATCAATATATTATGTTGACTGGTAAAAAAAAATAAACACATAATAAACATTTGATGAATACATCAAACGGAAAATGSCTATAGTACCTATATGAATGTAAGAAGTAAAGTGTGTATAATAATGAATTGAATAATTATTAGTAACATTAATTTAATTCTATAATAATKTTTGGTGTCTGTAGGTGCCTATATCGTATACATAGATAGCAATACATTATTGAAATATTGAATATGCCRGTAACCTAATCCTACATCCTTACTGCCCTCAAGATTTTATATAYTAAATAATAATGTAYTCATTAATTTAGTAGACATTTAGCCGCGCTGCTACCGGATAGTTATTATATTTATATCAATCCACCAAGTTTTAGGACTAAAAAATTAACGGCCCATTTTTTTAATATWATATTATATTTTTTGTATACATTCCCAGTCTTGGAATGAAGATTTTCTAACGTAAATTCGGCCTTAAGTAAAATTAAAAAGTGGCTTTGTGAAAATAATTTATTCTTAAGTTYAGAAAAAACCTATATATTACCTCATTATATAGTTAATTCGAATCAACCAAACAAAACAAGTATTAAATGTATACACACTATAATGATAATGTGTGTTTAAATCGAAATTTATTTAAATGCCAAACCTTTGTAAAAATATAGTTAAAAACTGTATATACTTAGGTAACGTGTCATAATCTTAAACGGAATGACCACATAAAATTTGTAATAAATAAATTAAGAAAAATAATGTGTGCATTTAAATACTTAACAGATATCTTAGAACTAAAGAAAATTAGAGTTGTGTATCAARCTGCACTAATATAGAATCCATAATTAATTATGGCATTTATATATGGGTATATTTATATATAATTATATGAACAAAATATTGACAATCTCATAACAAGTGCATGTATAGAATTATTGTATTATTTACTTATATGAAATTAGATTATTTTAGTATTTATTTATAATTTTAGATTTTTACCATAATGTATATTGTATTATTGTATCATATAATATTACAAAACTGTAATTATTTAATTTAATTTAACCGTTTAATGAATTTATATTTAAAATTGTGAACTCATGGGCCCCCACACGAACATGTTCAGTGGGGCCATAGGCGCAAATTGGTTCAATTTTGTGGGGGGACTTAAGCCTGAGTATTGTTGCATTTAGTTTTTAATAGTTTGTGGGACACTTATAAATTAGGGGACTAATTATGAYTTTGAGAGAGGGATAAGCCCCATTAGCGCCCTACGATTTGCACCTATGAGTGAGGCTCATTATCTTCTTGAACAATAATTAAAAATAAAAATAAAATTMATAATTTATTCAACTTATATTTCATTGTTCGGGGTATTCTAATATTTTCAGCCCTATATTACTAAGCTAGCACATCTAGTTTATTTAATTCAATTCTAGGTAAAATTATTATCTAGAATTTAGCTGAAAAACAGTGAAACCTGTAATGTTCCCGTTCCTAATGTCGTATTTGTTGTTGTCTTACTTCATGTTGAAACCATCTATAATTTGAGGTTGGAATTTAAAATATTATTTAACTTCAAAAGTTTAAATAATTTATCAAGCACGGAATTTTAGATTTGTTTTACAATAATTAAAATTATTTAATTATATTGAATAAAAAAAGAAAGAAARAATAATAACGAATTTTCATAATACAGAGTGCAAGCCACTGTAAACTTGATATTTTGTATGACTTGTGTTGTATGCGGTCATAATGCATGTTATTTAAATATTAAGTGCTAGAATTTTAAGGTTTCATATTAAACTTCAAAAAGTATGTTCAAGCTGTCTCTGGATGAGACATATATATTATTGGGATGTCGGACATGCACCCGAACAATGAAACCTTGCCGAATCTTGTGAAACGCCTAAAAACTGCTGCAACGGTGGTTGACATCACATATTTTTCTTTATCTCTCTCATTCCAGAAATTCTCTCGAGATTTTTTTTCATTATTTATTACAACAGCACRTCGACATTATTAGGTACTTATAATCCATGTACTCTATATATAGGCATACGAGGAATATAAATAATATCCAATTCGGACGTTTTCTGAAATTTGAACACGTTTTATCCGCGTATCACATTATCCGATCAACAMGTCATCATGTTAAGTGGTTTGGTCACTTTGGTGTGTGAATATTGTAAATTTTTTGCAAATCTTTACATGGGTTTCTCCGATGATCTTGCATACCATTAACTGCATGGTTCTCGGATAGCTATATTTTATAGATTCCGACAAAATAAACCATAAAACTAAACAATTACACTTATTTATTTTATTATTTATATGCAAGTAACCTATATTGGTGTATAGATCATATAATTGCGTCAGAAATTATAAAACTAATAAATACATTGAGTTCGAATAAAAAAGTTCAGACAAGTCATAAGTAACATGCGTATCTTACTATATCCATGATTATGTTTATATAGTTAGGACCAGTTGTACCCTTGTACCGTCTACGGTTAAACTTCGATTATGCTTAATCAGCTGATAACAGATATTTAACCGTGAAAATTTGGCCGATTAAACTCCGGTTAACTTTAATCAGAGATGGTACAACTAGCCCTTAATAATTAATCCGTTTGTAGTAATACGTGTCACGTGATGACGTGAACTAAAAATCAACAGCTAAGCGTTTCATTTAWTCATTATACTTATAAAGTTATACTTATAACATATGATATATTTTTAARGAATGCCAAAAATATTATTATTGGTAAAATATAACCGAATAATGCCCGCTTAAAATTTTAAATCTTTACTTATTTGTTTATTTATTTATTTTTTTTATTTTTTTTGAAGAGGAAATGTATTACATTTATGGAGCGGATGTTCATGTACGTTTGGGMAAATACCTTTAGTATGCCTCCTAACGACAGACCTCACGTTTATCGGCGCAATATATTCGTGTATAGTCCACGCGTTTCGACAATCTCACACCTGTTCTATTTACACATACCCGCACATCATATTTTTGGCTCTGGTACCGAACTAAACCCGGGCTCCGAACATTATATATTTAAGTAATTTTGAAGTAATTGTTTGCATGAACAGTGGTCCCGTCGAAAGTCCTGGCCCCATTACCACGGGTCGTTCTGACCTCCCCCCCCTTGTGAGGTCCCTGTATATACATCATGAATATATAATTATATTGTTTGTGATTCGAGCGCTATTTATTATAAATTAAGTAATTGGAATCCGATAAATCGATAAATAATAGATCAAAGAGCTATTACATAGCATGCAGGCCGGACGATATTGCAGCGAGGACGACACAACAATAAAATATATACGCAATAAAGTATATTATATTCTTACTTGCGCGCGCGCGTGTGTCGCGAGATAAATACTGCTCAAAACGGATGAGTGAAAAAAATAAGATAAATAAAAGAACGAAGGGGAAAAAATGCAGTCGTCCGGGCCGCGTGCGCAGACATGCTATACTATCAAAGGTGCCGCTATATTCCCGTGAATTGCGGTTGGTAGCGGTTCCAGTTTCCCGCGAGGACCGGTTCCCCTACCCGTCGTCCGCTTACCGGTCCGCGGCGGCGGTGGCGGACGTACGGGCCGCCGCCCGTGGTCGCGGTCCCGATCTCCGGCAGCGTCGCGTCGGCCGGTCGGTTACGCTAAAGATCCGGCCGCCGGTAGTAAGTAGTGTGTCTCCGCGGGTCTACGAAATACGTGCGCCGCACAGGTGTTTGCGCTGCTACCATAATATAATATTGTACACGTAGGAAATGCACATGCACATGCTGTAACGATACATTGCATATTGTAGTAGGTACCCAACGTAAATAATATATTACCATTACAACTATACACATATCGATTTCCACAACGCAAAAARCGCCCTGTATCATCGATAAAATACAGACACATTCGTAAAGTGCACGGGAATTTATTTTTCGTAGTTCCGATTCCGTAGTTTCCGACCGAGACCGCGTCGAGCGTGCGATTCCGGGACCGTTTCGATTATACTTGTCCGTGTTCTCGCGACCATCTCGCTGCGGATATCCGCGGTATCCGTGTGATCGTCGTCGAAGCTGTTACCCCGCTCACGCGCTAGTTATGTGCGACCGGCAACGTGCGAAAAATTACTAGACTAAAAGCAGCCACATTGTACACGTGACACGAGGAATATGATAGTTTTCGAGAGCCGGAAAAACGTTTGATCGATACGGTGGAACAGAAACCTACTGCGTTAGCGTTTATCGTCACTTATACCTACCGCCGGATACGATCTCTCCGGTCATCGTCGCCGTACTATTCATCCAACTTGAATCGTAAGTCTTCAAATCGACGTMATCAACATATTTTTTATTTATATTATATTATTTTAGTATAAGTTATGATATGTAAGACGAATCTTAGCTCTGTGTATTCAAGACATTTCAAGAATTTTCTATATACCTAGACGGCACTTAAGTATTTCGAATTAGGGTGGACGCATTTTTGGCGAGCAAAGTTTTTGTTGCGATTCGCCAAGTGAGTAATTTGTTCGTCACGAACGAAACCAGAGTTTGCAAAAAAAATCATTGGTCGCGGCCGCCACCGGGCATACATCGTTTTACGTTTATAATAATACCTATATTTATTGATGTGTACAGATCTATAGATATTTTAACATATATATATATATATATGTATAGAAAGATAGAGAAAGAGAGTCTAGAGAGAAAGAAAGAGAGGTGTTTGGTATCTCATTCACAGTCGCGCGCCGCCGGTTTACGGAATATGCCTTCAAGACCGACGCAAAAGTACGGTTTTTTGAGGCTTCTAATAAATTCGCAATGATAAATTTATAATCTTACATCCGTTCTACGATGATGATGATAATAATAATATATATTTGCTACATACACGTCCGAAAGGAGGGCGACGTGTAGAATATACACAACACACACACACAAACAAACACACACATGTATAATATATGTTATACTGGTATATGAATCGTAAGCTGGGCCCGACGGGTCCGACTGCTGTAAACACAACATTATAAATATGATCTACGCGTATACCACGGTAAACATTAAAATGTGTTATTATTGCGCACCGATTTTTGCTGTCTCGTTCTATGTTTTTGATTCATCCTACACAACAACGTTCGCGACCTCGTTCCTGATATATTTTTGAGCGACTCGCAATGCTTTATATACGTTGTTTATATCGCGATGATTGTCAACGAAGTATTATTATAAATTATAATACACGTCCGTAAGTCGGTTTGGG